GGGGGGGTGTAGAGCTCTTCCAGTGTTGTAAGGCACTCGAGATCGACTCCCCTGGAGGAAACGGCTGCTGTGGAATGTGGACTCTGGGGCAGGGCACCCTGCCAAGGCCCCTCCCCTCCCCAAGCCCTCCGCAGGCTCCACCCTCCGGGCCTACAGGCATTTCCCAACCCAGAGCCGGCCGAAGTGAACCCAGGAAAGCCTCTCCAGTCACAGTGGGACATTTTCATGCTATTTATTTCTGAAGGAAGGCAACCCCAATGAAACTCAACTCCAAAATCACAGTTGTTCTCTCCCCCACGAGCTTAATATGTCGATGACATAGCAGGGGAGATGAAAATGAACCCTGTGAAGCCAGGCCGGACGAGTCGAATGCCAATGGAACGACAACAGGACCGATTTCACACAAGAGCTGCGCCGCGGTCGCGCCTCCCTGTGCCCTGCTTCCATTGGTCAATTTCCCACTCGAAGCTGCGTGGCCACATTTTGACCCATGGCTTCGCCCGATTTTACTGGCAGTTTTGTGATCCTGTTTTTTGAGGATCACAAAACCGCGGGGGAAATCGGGCGAAGCCACAGATCAAAATGCGGCTGCGCAGCTCTGAGTGGGAAATTGACCAATAGAAGCGGGGCACAGGGAGGTGCGACCGCAGCGCAGCTCTTGTGTGAAATCGGTCCAGGTCTCCAACAGCGACCCTCTGAGTCCGATCCGACAGGAAACTGAACACATGAAGCTGCCTTATATTGGAATCAGACCCTCAGTCCATCAAAGTCAGAACTGACCACACTTCCTCATTGTTGCCACCACAAACCCTAATCTTAAACTCTTCGATGTAATGCAACGAATACTGTCAAAGTCAAAATATTTATTTGTCGTAGCCGTCGGCCATAACAACCCCACAAATAACCGCCTACACACAATTCACATCGAGACAGAGAATTAAAACATTCCAGCATAGCAAAATAAAATAAACAGCATTTAAAATATATATAGTAAAATGTAAAATGTACAATAAAAGAACTGAACGCTAAAATGTAGACTAATTATAGTCTGGCTAAAATTCCTGTAGGAGCAGCCGAGATTAATTTCTTCCGTATATTTAATGACAGGAAAATAAAAGAAGCCACTTTAATAGTAAACATCGAAGTCAGTATTGTCTACTCAGACCGGCAGTGGCTCTCCTGGGTCTCAGACTGGAGGTTTTCACATCACCTCCTCCCTGGTCCTTTTAATTGGAGCTGTTGGGGACTGAACTTGGGACCTTCTGCATGCCCAGCAGATGCTCTGCCACTGAGTCATGGGCCCTCCCCATAACCTTTGGCCCATCAAGAGCAGTGTTTCCACTTTAGACTGGCAGCAGCTGTCCAAGGTCTCAGGCAGAGGTCTTTCACATCAACTACTAGCAGATCCCCTTAACTAAAGACGCCGGGGATTGAACCTGG